ATAGTATATTTTTGTTTCATGATTTTATAAGGTCACCTAATTCAAAACTATTTTAATAATAAAATTTTAATAACTCATAGAAAGGAAAAGTGTTTATCGATTTTTTAATTACTTAATTTTAAAGAGAATCATCTCTATTTCTCAGCAAGATTACAATTTAACATATAAAATACATTATCTTCAAAATGGATAAACAAAATCTATACGAATACATGCCCAAGAAACGAGATTTATATAACGACTACAAGTGTGACGAAAACGTTTGAACAAAGGAACGTTAATTTAATCAACTAAACGTTGAAATCAGAACAATTACACTGTTCACTAAATCCATTAAGTTCCAAACGTGTAGTTGGCGGCAATGCGTTCGTGGATCAACAGTGTGAACATGACAGCTGTGGACACAGCATGTTATTGTCCCTTTTAATTGTGATACTGACATGTTAGGCAACCTCACAAATATTTGTTCCATTAACATACGAGGGCGAATTGATAAGTACGTGGCCTAGTCAAGAATATTAAATAAAATGAACAGAATATTTATTTTCTCTATATATTCGACCTCTTCATTCCACGGAAATTAATGGTCATTTTTTATTTAACTTTATAAACAGATGAAAGTCCAAAGATGCCTGCAAAATAAATCTGATCAGGCGGTAATTCGAAACCACAATCATGACTTTGAGTCATTTATATTTACAAGACGTGTGAAGTAGCCGCCCAAATGATCTTTGAATACTTAAAAAGTGGTCCGAAATGGTCATAAATGGTCCGTGGTTTTTAGCAATTAGAAAGATTCAAAAAATCTAAGTTAAATTTTTCTGATTAGCACCTCAAAATATTAATTTTGAATTCTCAAGCAAAGATCCAAGAAAGTTACGAAATACACAATAGGTCAGAAGTTTAACCGTGTTTAATATGTCTCAAATGTGCTGTCTCAATGCTTATACAATGGCGTACTCACATAACCAGATAGTGATATTTGTAAGTAACAACGCATTTTCTTTCCTGTTTTAAGAAATGTTAGTTAATGTTTCCCCTATTGGTTGTAAAAAAATCGCCCCAAAGGGACCATACTAGCATTATAAGTATACTTAAAATAATGTGTTGGAACAATAACGGAAAGGAATCTGCCTAGATGGAATAGTTTGATAATTTATTAGAACAAGTGCAGTTTTAAATCGAGTGCGATCACAGATAATAACTTCACATGTTACAACTAGTAAATATTTTGCGTTAACCTAAAATTTTTCGATACTTTTCTCAACTCTAAGTTTATTATCGTCACTTATTTTAAAATAGGCTTAGGGCTGGTCTATGAATTTAACATAGAACTTAAATGTGTAAATAAATTGTCGACAAATCTTGCTGCAAATGGATAAACAAATATAATATATGAGCGTATCTACCGCTTAGCTTAGTGGTTAGTTAGCGCAGGTTAAGTCCTAGCAGTGATGAAAGATATTCTGACAATTTATATTATCTTATATTGGTTAAATTTGGTTCGTATATTGTAAAGTGAATGAATTATATTATTATAATTTATAACTTCGGGGTCTTCACAAGTTGAGTTTTAATTCCCAACGTAAATGATATAAGGCTATTTGATTTGAGCGAAAAGCTTTCTGGTGGCTTAGCGATGTATAGCCCACCTGACGCTTTCGCAATTACGGTGTGCAATATCGTTGAGAATATTAAAAACTTCGAAGTTAACAGAATTTTATTGATAAAGGAATAAGATTCAACTTCGATAACTTTGTTGGCGTGATCATTGTTAATTGGAAGAATGAATGTGATAGAAAGCACTTCACTTTCTTCTAATAAACTGCTAAAAATTGATGTCGTCATCACTAGGATACCGTACAACAAACAAACATAATACAAGTTGGATCTGAAAGAAGAAAAACTACAATTATAGTTGGTGTTTACTGTGACGAAATATAAACGGAAATGGACAGGCTACTTGAAAAGAACCGTGACTTGTCAGTTGATCTAATCTACTATTTTTTCATGTATATGTTCGAGCCCTACTACTGGAAAAATGTTGTGTGATGAATATATCTATGTTTTTCCAGCGTCTAGTTGTTTATATACTCTATGTATAAATGTATTCATTTACAAAAGAAAAGTATGTTTATCGGTTATCTAGTACGCATAGTACAAGGGATGCTTAGTTTCGGAATAGAGAATGTCGCGTAAAAATTTGTCCGAAATAATTATTTACTTTACTTATACTGATAATGAAAATCGCTATGCACCTTATAACAGACCGTCTCAAAACTACAAAAGTTACAAAAGAAAACTCAAACGTATCACTAGACTTCGTACTAATTGATTTCAAATTTTCTGGTAAAAAACGCCATTTCTAGGATTTCAGTAGTAGAGGGATCAATGAATTTCCAAAATACACGATTTATCAAAAATAAAACCGAGTAAAGCTCGGTCCTCCAGGTAATTTCTATAAATTTCCTATCTTTTTTCAGTTTATGCAGTGTTGTTTACTTCTAAGCAGAGTCACAGTTGTATTGATTAAGCTGGTTTAATTGTGTTCTATAATTATTAGTATTATTAGCGTATCCACTGAAAATGGACAAAAGAGAAAATAAGACGACGTTGTATCGCCTTCGGCTAAAATAAATAAGCGCTCTTTCTCGGGCTAAAGTAATTACAAATTTCTATTTGTATTTATTATATTATATTTTATTTTACACTAGTTAAAATTGTTAAAAAAATCATCCGCTGAGTTTCTTTTCTCGGTTTTCTCGGTGGCTTTTCTTTTCCGAACCGGTAGTCGTATTTTATTATCAATAAGTAAGCTTTTCTTTTCCGAACCGGTAGTCGTATTTTGATTATCAATAAGTGAGTATTACACTCACTCTTAAATATATTTGAATTTTGAATCACACGAGTTTTAAATACCAATTACAGATGATTTGTTACTGGTATTTAGAACTCGGTTTAAATATAATAAAATAAGGGAATATTAAAATTAAGGGGCTTTATAGAGATTTACTACTATCTTATGACACTGTTAAGAAAAGTTCTAAGCGTAGGTATTTTAACGACATTTTAACGAGAATCGTAAAGAAAATGGCTGTGGTAGTGAATCTGACGTTAAGCACACAGTCTTAGTTTTACTAACGAAATTAAATTTAAACGTTGGTGGGAATGTGGACTTAAATTTAGAATGATAAGAAAGAAAACTGTATGAACTTTTAGTTAAAATAGTGATTAAAGATGTCATGAATACAGTAATCGATGTCAGAAAGTCACCATTGAAATTTTCAAGATTTTGATATATTTTGCAAAATTTAAATAAAGAATCTTCAAACGTTAAAGATTCTTTATACTTTCGTAAAGTTTAAAGTAACATACGAAACTTTGTGTAAATGAAACTATGACTAAATACAGTTATGTTTTAATTACTTAAACATGACGTAGGCATGTTAATTTTATTTATTTTAATATGTATTTTTTCTTATAAACTCATGTTATTCTCACGTTGTTTATATATTTAAATAGGATTCAAAATCCTATTTTATATCCCAATTCCAATTTTCTATTCCATTAAATAATACAATGGTAACTATAACCAATGGAAAATAATTCAGCAGCGATAACATTCGCCATAGGTATATTTGTTTATACTTAACGTTTTTGCACCTTAATATTAGTAACTGGGCGTGAGAGCTTCGCGCAGCGTTTTTTTTTTCTGAAAAATCGTGTATTTTCGTTAAAATTACTGGGCAAGGTTATTTTTATTCTGATAATGTAATATAGTCCCATCCCACAAATTTTTGTGGTGCCTTTGGTCTAAAAGTCAATAACAAGATTTATTATTTTAAGTGTATGTTACGAAAATAAAAATAAAATAAAAAACTAGTGGCATGAACTGTACAAGAACCATAAATAAAAACTTACATTTAGTATTGAATATTAGGTGAATCACGACAAATGAAACGTTTACTAGTTAAATATTATCTTTTACTTCTAGATTTAAATAAATAATTCAACAAGAGCAAAACAAAGGCTTTGCATGTTTTCGTTGCTTTTGAGTACCTTCGTAGCTCGTCTTAATTATTCATCAAAAGTAGGCCAATGAATTTTAATAAGCAAAATTAAGATTACCATTTACCTCGCAATAATTCTAAACAGAGATCTTTTGGACGCATTCCTTGCAACTTGACCTGTTGTTGATAGATGGATACTCTTTTTTTTACTGATAGCTATAGAGTCCCGCGACTTCGTCCGCATGGAATTTAAAATAAATAAAATTTCTTAGCCTAATTAAAGTAGCCTAAGTTAAAACCGTCAAAATCGGTCCAGCCGTTTCAGAGATTAGCCGAAACAAACAGATAGACAGACAGACAGAAAAAATATAAAAAATGTCGTTTTGGTACTGTCATGTTTTTATTAGTTTATTCGATGCTACCCGCAAAAACTGTCACAATAATCTGTGTCTTGGTAAAATACATCAGTTTGCGATAGTCCGTGTTTCATTCGATACATTACATTGGCGCAGTCGGTTTAATTTTTTTTTTAAAAAAAGAGACATTAGTACGTGTACTTTTTGGAGCAGCTACAATGCCTATTGGAAAGATTGAAACGTTTGATGTCGGGACGCATAATTGGGATGCGTATTGCAGAAGAATTAAACAGTTTATCGTACTCAATAACATTCCGGAAGAGTTACACGTGGCCACATTAGTGACTCACGTTGGGGTAACCTGTTACGAATTAATGTGTGACCTATGCGCGCCCGATTTACCTGAAGCAAAGTCTTTCGAAGAACTTGAGTTAATTGTGAAACTGCATCTCGAGCCACAACGATCGGAAATCGCAGAACGACACGTTTCCAGGCAACGAAAGCAAGTTTCGGGGGAGACCGTAAACGAGTATTTGCAATGTTTGAAACACTTAGCCAAGACTTGCAATTTTGGAACGACATTGGAAGTTAATTTGAGAGATCAATTTGTGTCCGGTCTCCTACACACGAGGATATGAGATCTAGACTTTTTGCTGAACGTGATTTGGATTATAAACGGGCGGTGGAGCTAGCCCTGGCGTTAGAAGCGGCTGATAGGCATGCAGCAACGTCAGCGGTCAGCGGCAGCATTGCCACAGTTCCATCCGATGGCATCCATCGCGTGGCAGCGGTGGCAGGGAAGCGCGAGCTACATCGTGCGGCCGATGCGCGCGCGTTTCATCTACACCGGCAGCGTCCCCCGGGGCGGCAGCGGTGCGACGTAGCCCATGTCCGCGGTGTGGCAGAGTTGGTCATGCGGCAGCCAGGTGCCGTTTCAAGGCGTATCATTGTGATAAGTGCGGTGAGAAAGGACATTTAAAAGTTATGTGCCGTAAGTTCGAAGGTGATCGCGAATCAGAACAATTAAGAACAACTAAAGGTCAGTTTTTTTTAGTTGACTCCGATACAGAAGATAGTCTAAACTTTTATAATTTATCCTATGATGGTGAGGACAACCCATATTACATTAATTTAAAAATAAATAATTATTCAATGCAGTTCGAAGTTGATACTGGTTGTAAGTTTTCGGCTATTTCAAAGTCATGCTATGATGTTTTGTTTTCTAAAGTACACTGCATAAAAAATCTCTAACGTTAAAGTCATATACCGGCAATGTAATAACACCAGTCGGATATATTGTGGTGCAAGTTACTTACAGAGCGCGATCGGAAAATCTTCAACTTTTTGTAATTAAAAACGGTGGTCCGCCTTTAATGGGTCGTACTTGGATACGGATTTTAGGTGTAAACATAAATGATTTTTACAATATATCCGATGGTTTAACAGAACCTATTGACATTTTGCGAAAAGAATTCTGCGATGTTTTTACCGATGGGCTTGGGACATGTAAAATTCCTATACAGTTACATTTGGCAGATAAAACTCCGGTTTTTGTTAAAGCGCGTCCGCTGCCGCTCGCGTTACGGGCGCCAGTAGAACGAGAGCTAGAACGTTTGCAAAGCGACGGTGTTATTTACAAAGTGGAGCGTTCCGATTATGGAACCCCAATTGTTCCTGTTATTAAAAAGAATGGAGACATACGCATTTGTGGAGACTACAAAATAACCATTAACTCTCGATTAAAAGATTTTCATTTTCCACTTCCTCGCATAGAAGAGATTTTTGCTACATTATCGGGAGGGGCGGTATTTTCAAAACTCGACTTGTCGCACGCCTATCAACAGTTCGTATTAACAGAAGAATCTCAACCGATGACTGCAATAACTACACATATAGGAACTTTCGTTTATAAGCGCGTCCCTTTTGGAATTAAATGCATACCCGAAAATTTTCAGAAAATTATGGAAGAAATTCTTAATGGATTGCCGTCAACGGTTGTATTTCAAGATGATATTTGTTGTTCTGGAAAAGATAAAGAAAGCAATCTTAAAAACTTAAGAGCTGTCTTGAGTAGATTAAGAGATGTGGGATTACGTATTAACTTGTCAAAATGCGAATTTTTTCAAGATAGTGTTACATATTTAGGATACCGTATAGATAAGAACGGCCTACACGCAGATGATAAGAAAGTGGAAGCGATTGTGGCCGCTCCCACCCCAAAAGATGTAACACAATTAAAAAGTTTTCTTGGGCTCGTGAATTTTTATGCCAAATTTTGCATTAATATAAGCGACATATTAAAACCCTTATACGATTTGCTCAAAAAAGATGTTAAATGGTTTTGGGATGAACGGTGTGAAATTGCATTGAAAAAGATTAAACGCATACTTAGCAGTGGTCCGGTGTTGGCGCATTATGATTATAAATTGCCGTTAATCCTTTCTGTGGACAGTAGTGCGTACGGTTTAGGCGCGGTGCTAATGAACCGCTATCCCGACGGCTCAGAGCGCGCGGTCAGCTGTGCATCGCGCACTCTAAACGCTCATGAGCGCAACTACTCGCAACTAGATAAAAAGGCGTTAGCGATTGTGTTTGGCGTAACAAAGCACCACCAATACTTGTTCGGTAGACATTTTTTACTGCGTAGCGATCATCGTGCTCTTAGTTTTATTTTCGGTAAAAACAAAGGCATTCCACAAACAGCGGCAAGTCGCTTACAACGATATGCGATTAAGTTAGCTGCATATAATTTTGATATTGAATTCGTCCCATCATCGAAAAACTTTTTTGCGGATGCCCTTTCGCGTCTACCTATGCAGCGGACAGTAAGAGATGCTAGTGATACTTTCGAAGGGAGTTATTTTAATTTTATAGAATATCGATTACCGGTCACGTTTCACGAAATTAAAGCTGAAACTCTTAAAGATAGTCAATTAACAAAGATAGCTGGATATGTAAAATTTGGCTGGCCAGAACGTATGCAAAATGAAAGCGAGCGAGTATTCTTTAATAAAAAGGATAATTTGTTTCTAGAACACGGTTGCTTGGTTTGGGGCTATCGTTTTATTATACCCAAAACTCTTAGAAGTGCTGTACTACGTGAATTACATAACGGTCACATCGGCGTAGTAAAAATGAAACAAATAGCTCGAAATTATTTATGGTGGGAGGGATTAGACAGTGACATAGAAAAAATATGTCGCGATTGCAACGCTTGTTCGTCGCAGCGCAGTGAGCCGCCGCCCGCGCCGCTACACTCTTGGCCATGGCCGACAGAGCCTTGGACCCGTCTTCATGTCGATTTTTTAGGGCCGTTTAAGAATGAATATTATTTTGTCTTAATTGATTCCAATACAAAATGGATAGAAGTGGAAAAAGTTTCGAGCACCTCAGCACAGGCAGTTCTTTCTTGTTCGCGTAAAATTTTTTCACGTTTCGGTCTTCCGAAATCCATAGTTAGTGACAACGGTCCACCCTTCTCTTCAAGAGAATATTTAAATTATTTAGAGAGTAACGGTATTAAACGCATTTTAGTCGCCCCGTATCATCCGGCAAGTAATGGTGCGGCTGAAAATGCATTAAGTTAAATGCAGTTCGATTAGTTAAACAAGTCCTTAAAAAAGCGTCTGTTGATAATGAAGATTACAACACAGCTCTGTGTAAATTTCTCTTTACATATAGAAATACGGAACACTGTACGACACAAAAAGAACCTTCAGTTTTGCTGTTAGGGCGGCGTTTACGTGGTAGGCTTGATCTTTTGCGTCCAGTAACCGCAGATATAGTTAAGGAGAAACAGAGCATTCAAACGGAGAGGAAAGGTGGAGTTTCACGCAACATAGCTCCCGGCGATGCTGTACTTTTCCGTGATTATTCAAATAAAGATATTAAATGGAAGGAAGGAGTGGTAGTAGATAAAACCGGACCAGTGTCTTTTCGCGTTAACACTGAGGATAATAGGACCGTCAAGAAACACATAGACCAAATTTTAAGTAAAACGTCTCGAAAATCACGCCATTCTCTATCCTGTGTGAGTCCAGCCCTTGCTAAAGGTTCAGAGGAAATAAATGAAGATGTTAACGATGGTTGGTCAACTCCGTTAAATGAATCAGTTTCTTCGGGAGATAATTTAGTTTCTTGCACCCTAAATAGCAATGTGGAAGGAAATAGTGGGGGTGACCTTAGTAATAGCGCTACACCAACTCCCTTAAGTATTGCGAAAGATGAGTTTGCAGAACGTCCCGGACAGACGCGCCAACAACGAACTTACACTCCGCATGCTATGAAATTAAGATCCCGTCTTAAAAATAAGTAATTAAAAATTAAAAAAAATAGTCAAACCTTCAAAAATATTATTAAAACTCTTTGTCGCTCATATTATGCATATAAATTATGTTAAACTATTTTGTACCTAACTAATAATAAGTTATTTTATATGTTATGTTCCTTTAATGCATTGTACTTCTATTGTTCACATCTCTCTAACCATTTTTTGTTTTTAGTTTTATTTAAATTTAAATGATATTGTTTTTGTTTTAAGAGGAGGTAAATGTCATGTTTTTATTAGTTTATTCGATGCTACCCGCAAAAACTGTCACAATAATCTGTGTCTTGGTAAAATACATCAGTTTGCGATAGTCCGTGTTTCATTCGATACATAACAGGTACATGTATCCATTTAGTATCTGGACCACCAGCAAAAACATGCACATGATAAAGAAGATATAAATGTAATTGGTCGCTGAAATAAATACTACATTGTAAGATATTAATTTGAAAACGGATGGGTAAAGAACTAGATTACTTCAGAATAAAATAGAATATGTAATTTGCGTCAAAATTATAACGTCTGTTGAAATAAATCCCCAATGACAAATATCCAAGAGGTAATATTAATTTAATTAAAAATATAATATTTAAGAGGTCCAGTAAGTGGTTCAATAAATTGTTTAAGCCTTGGAATAAAATTAGAGAAATTTCCATTCCGAATATTGTTTTAACGCTCATGCTTAATTTAATACGGCACTGAATTTTTTATCGACAACTCCAATAAATATATAATACAATAAAAACGGGCTTAGATGTAAATTAAAAAAAAACGTTACGGTAAAATCAACCTCAATCGAATAACTTTAGATTTGAACCCTCAATGTGAGGGCTATTGTTAAAGTTTAATTGAACTTTTTTAATAGATCTCGTCGAGTTTAAATTAAACAAGGATACCGATTTGGCGAAGTGGTTTTTTAACGTGTTTGTGCTAAATCACGTTTAGATCGATATAGTCAATTTGTTTCATCATTATTATATTCTATTATAAATCGATACGATGCCAATGTGTGAGGTTAATATTGTTGATACTCACGTAGGCTAAAACAAGACTATTATACCTGTAATATTATATTGTAAACTGACCTTTTAAAAATTAGCAACTGTTGAGTTTCTTGCCGGTTTCTTCTCAATAGAAAATGGTTTCCGAACCGATGGTAACTTATGAACATATTAATTTCCTTGTAAAATTTCGACGTTTCATAAGAACGCGCAAGCGTCTATGTGAATAAAGATATTTTATTATTAATATTTATTATTATTAATCTGCACTAAACATATTATCTTTGCTTGATTTTTTAAACATATTTATAGAAAATCGGAATGTTTCGCTTTTTATTTTTCTTAAATTCCCACTTAATCACATCCACATACTAGTAGAAGGGCTAGTAGTACTAATACTGCTATTAATTAATTATTTTAACTCTAACATAACATACATATAATATAAAAAGCTTTGAAAACTTGGAAGGCCTTGACAAATTATGATGTTAAAAAAAGCTGGCTGGCTTGGCGTCCATTGCCAATTAAATTTTTATTGGGTTAATTTAATTTTCTACCGACTTCAACGTTACAGATTTTTTCTTAGCCAATACGATGACTCCTTCGCTATATACTTAAAATAAATAACGGGCAGCTACACATACAAAA